ACAGGGCTTATATTTTTAAATCGAGACCCCAAATTTCAGCTTCAGCCGTTTTCAGCATCAGCTGCGACAATTATTTTGTTTCTTTTAAAATATTAAAAGTAACTAATTTATTTGCTTGAACAAAAAGAAAATACAGATAAAATAATGACTTTATGACCCCATTTGAATGATTAAATTGAAATGTGTAATCAATCCTCTTGTTTGAATTGGTGTAAATATAAAATTAATGAAAATATCAGTATAAGAAATTATCAACACATAATATTCTATTATTCATAGATTCAAATGAAGTATAAAAAAGTTACAGTACGTCAAAATTTTGTTATTTTCAGGTTTAAAATTTTAAAGGTTTATTACTAATTACTACAGTATAACACATCTGCTAAAAGAACATTAAATATTTAATTATAATCTTGATGCTTGGGTACTTTGGTATACTTGGGTTTGAGTGCTTGGGTATATTTTGGTACTTTTGTGGATTTAGGAGGTATGTTTTGGTACTTTTGTGGATCTAGGAGGTATGCAACCATCATCACAACGCATAATTCCACATTGAGCATTAAGTATAGGTGGACCTGTAGTTTTATTACAAATACTTAACAACGGTTGTGAAATTCTTTCGACTTCAAAACGACATATATCTTGTCCAAAAGACCATTGTATACAATCAGGATCTTTAAAACATCCTTGACAACACTGTTTTGGAGTCTTAATATCAGTTCTTGGTTTGATATCATAATAATTTAACTTGTGATGTGTATTTGTCCATCCTGGACAACCCGGTGCTTTACAACAGTCAGAGATTTTATTTTTTGAATTATCATGTTTATAAGCATTGGCCAAAATGACAAACGCTAACAAATATGAATAAAATAAAGGAAATTTATAAATTTACCCGTAGTGTATGAACACGGGTATAATTTATTGAATTACATATTCGTGCAACATACTAATCAAAATAATTTTTACAAAAGAAAAATTAAACCCTCGCTTATGGTTAGGGTAAGGGCGGGTTTGGGATCGGACAAGGTATAGCTTATACCAAAATTTCGCAAGGAATTTTTTTTGTTAGAAGCCAAAAGGTGGTTTCATAATCTAAATTTTGAGATATCTATATTGCACGTGTACATACACGTAGTGTACAAATAGAAATTGCCTAAAATAAATTAAGGATTTGATATTTCATTATTGATAAAGAAAATTTCTAATTTACACTAAGATGAATTGTACGAAACTGAAAATATTCGTGTTTTATATATCTATCCATTCTACGTATTTAATATTAGTTTTGTACGTAATGGTAATTTGGTGCACTTGAAATACTACCACAATTAATTGATAATTAAAAAAATACATACATTCGATTAACTTACAAGCAAAATACCGCATATGCGTTAAATAATTGACATCAAGGAAGTTTAGGCGGGCAGTTTTATTCATTATAGTTGTCGCGTTCTTTTATTACATTATTTATTACATGCATTCGATTAACTTTCAAGCAAAATACTGCATATGCGTTAAATAATTGACCTCAAAGAAGTTTAGGCGGGAGGTTTTATTCCTTATAATTGTCACGTCCTTTTATTACATTATTTATTACGTGACGTGATAAATAGTATAATAAAAGAATGTGACAATTACCGAGACATGTACATGTACATTATATTATAAAGCATACATATATAACGTACAGTACTGTATACAGTATCCCCTTTAAGAGTACTTATCAAATCAATTTAAATCTCATTATTGTCGTTTTAATATCAATTATAAGGTTTGTGCAATTATTTTTAACCAACAGATAAGATTCTTCAGAGCATTGTATACAGTTAGAGTTGGGATCCTTTGAATATTCATTAAGGCTATTCAATGAAATTCGCGGATTTTAATGAATTGTGAATAATAATGAATGAATATACACATTTTACTGAATATTCATATAAAATTCACAGTTATTCAGAGAATTCGCGGATATTCATAGAAAATTCGCGGATATTCAAAGAATTCATGAATATTCAGAGAATTTGCGAATATTCCAAGAAAATTCTCGAATATTCAAAGAATTCACAAATATTAATGGATATTCGAATATTCATAGAGAATTCGCAAATATTCAGAGAATTCGTGAATATTCAGAAAATTCATGAATATTTATAAAGAATTCGCGAATATTCATCGAACAACATTATGATTTCTAACCTACCCGGACTTAACCTAATTTATACCCTCCAACTAACCTAACTCTAATTTTCAATACATATTTTAACTCACCCAACCATTGATTCTAAAGTGCATATTGGTCCCAAGTGCATGTACTTATAGTAAATTTAGCGAAAGATTAATAAATTTATAATAGTTTTATCAAATTAAACTTACCCTACAAGAAACTAGTATAATAAGTTTCTTAACTTTCTCACATTTTATAAATTAAGAAATATATACCAGCACACACTCTATAAGTATGCTTCCTTATAATTTTCTCTCTTTAAGTGCATATCATTTAACCAATAAATTATCTATAAATACACATCCCCGATAACATGCACTTATAGAGAAATGACTATACAGTAACACTTCTGTAAATGCATTCTCTTTAAGTGTATATCATTAAAGTTAGATCCCAAGTACATACACTTATAGAGGTTTACTGTATATGTAATCAATTTAAAATTAACTGAATAGTTCGAGTCTACTAAATTTATCGATTTTCCTTATATCGATGCAATATTTTTTTTTAGTTCATACCAGGGCACAAAATTTTATTGTAAAATACCAGAGGTTCAGTTTATTTCTGGCATAGTTTTAAAGGTGCCAGAAATTTTATAATATAAATATATTACAGGAGTTTCTAAATTTTGTTTACCAAAAAAAAAAGCAGATTACGACATGTCGAAATTTTGTGCCCTGGTTTATACCTCCATAATTATCTTGCATCATGAACTCAAATTTAATTTATCAGATCTTTCTTACATCAATCTGAATATAATATCAAAAAATTAATATAAATTATCTCTATTATCCCTTAAACCGTATTCCAGGCAAATTTGCCTGGAAAATTTAATTGTATTTAGTATTTTTTAAATAAAATA